TTATCTATTTATCATTTTAGCATTTTTTTTGTAGTTCACCATTTAAAGGAATGGCTAAAAAAATAAAACTTCACTCAGATGGCCATGACTTCACATCTAGATTTAAGGTTGGGTCCAACGTGAGTGGGTCTATTCAACCCTCCACCGCAACCCGCAAGGGATTATTGTGGCTCACACCCATTCACAGTTCACCAAATAAACCCAGCTTCTTAACGAAGCTGATTAGTTTGTATGGTCAGGTCAGTTGGTAAAAGTACGGTTCTGCCGAACTTTAACAACCTGATTTGGTCCCTAGTGGCGTAGACACAAAGCATATGCTCTGCTGTTTCATCGTTAATGAGGTAGTCGGATAGTCAAGGTGCACGATTTCCACCTTGATACCCGCGAAAACTTTCCCATATGAGGGGTTTTTGCACGTCAGCTATACCTGACGATCCCTTATAGATTCAACCGTGGAGGGTTTTTTCGCCTCTGGTTTTGGTGAATCATCAATTGAGCGCAAACGTTTGCTAACCTGCTGATGGGGGGTTTGTTCCTCCACTTGAGACAGATTCTGCGTACGCCGCTCAAGAATTTGTTACAAGGCTGTTTCATAAGGTACCCCGCTCTTGAGGAGACGACTCGGTCGTTTCCTGGCTGCACCACCAAACTTTTTTTTTAGGTTCAGTTATTGGATCAGGAGTTGGAGAATTGAGAAGCTCTCGCTCCTGATCTAAATTCACAGGGAGATCAGTTGGAGTCGTAAACTCGTCATCCATCTCCTCTGTAGACGTTAGAACAATTTTTGAGTTTACTCTGTCCATACAAGTCCCACGAGTAGCTAGGAAAAGAAGGTCAATCACGGCAGAGCCCCGCTTTACTGTGACAAGGCGATGCTTCGACGAGAGGGCGCCCGGTATCTCAAAGTTCCGTAGAGCAGCTGAGAGGCTCAGTGTCATTCATCCACTTGGCACGGATACACACGCCTTAGGATTGAGCCATCTTTGGGATGCCATTCAGTTAGGGAATAACAGAACCACAAGTGATTCTGTCATTCCCGTATCCAGCGGGGCTACGTGAAAACAGGCATCTGATGGCCGGTTTGCTCAACCCCCACATCCCAAGCCAATGCACTCGCCGAAAACAGCATGCACAGTGGTTCAGGCAGTGAAAGATTAACAAGGGCAGCCTATTTGCTATAAGGCTTAGGTAGTTGTTAGCGAGTCCAATATAATGAAGTAAATAAATCAATAATTGATGGTCACCTTATCAAACGCCTTGTAGTAATCCAATAAGACTAAAACACGTGGTTTGTTGTTATCAATTGAATGTAAAATATCATCTGTCACTCTTAGCATCTCCGTTGTGCAACTATGTCTTTGCCGAAAACTTGATTTATGTTCCAGAAGAATGTTAAAATCAGTGAGATGTACACGTAATTGTTCATTTAATATTTTTTCCAAGTACTTTGATAGCACATAAAATATTAATGGGTCTCAAATCATTATATCCTTCAGGATTAGCGATTTTAGCTAAAGGCCTGACTACAGCGCGTTTCCATAGTGTTGAATAAACGCTATTTTCGATAATGCAATTGAAAATGTGGCATAAATAGAGCAGAATATCAGGGCAACAGTAAAGCAACATTTTAATGCTGATTTGGTCGACACCCACAGCATTGGACTTAATTAATAAAAGTATGAACAGCATCAATGTATAAAGTACAAAATTATCATTCGCTCAGTATATACCACGACACAATAGAATAAATATTTATTGAGATATGGAGCTAAAAAAACACAGGACATTAAAACCAACAAACATTTTGAAACAAACAGAAACTTTTGAATATTTGGAGCTGTACCTTTCCAATACCGGTAGACTTTTCGGTCGACGCGACGTAGAGAAATAGCTGCGAATCTTGTCACGGTCCTATTGTCTATGAGCGCATGTCGACAATGCCATTGTTCATAATTCAATAATTCAACGTATCTAACGGGGTGGTATTTTATTGGAAAATCTGACAAGTATTGTTGATATTTATGTCCCGTTTCGTGATTGCACTCGTTAAAACGGCTAATGTGATTCATATTAGATTGTAATTATCATATCGTGCCCTCATATTACGCCCTGCGAATGCTGCATAAATCCATAGCTGGCCATTTACTATCGCGATTTTATGGTACGAATAATGCATTTCAATTGTTAGAATAATGACACCGCCAATATCTGTATTTTGCATAGAAACTAGTTTTTGATCGCGCATACCCGTTTCGTGATGATGCGACAAAACTTTATTACATTTCTATTGTTGGATAGAGCTTTGATGGTTGTTTGTTCGATTAAAAATATCCTGGAAAGTCATTTTTTGTAGAGAGAATCAGAGATTTTCATCCTTTTTTGGGAGTGTTTTAACCATTCATTAAAAAATATTAACATTGTAATTAATAACTTTTTACAGGTGTGAAAAGGCCAAACTTTCAGTTGACCCTAGTCAGTTACTGCATGAATATTTTTTTCCAAAAAATTAATAAATGAGTGGCGCGCTTAAAAATTTTCTAATAATATGCTATATTTTTGTCAATAAATATTCATGTGATGCACTGTTTGGAATCTTTGGTATAGCTATGAATATTAATGGAGATTTTTCCCAACACCAAACCGTTATTTTGACACCTCGACACGTGTTTCGATCACCAAGTGATCGTCTTCAAAAGGAAGATCTTCTTATTGAAGATAATTACTTGGTGATCGAAACACGTGTTGAGTGGTTAAAATAACGGTTTGATGATCGGAAAAAACTCCAGTAATATTCTATGAAATTCACAGTAGAAATATCAATCTTTAAGGCACAAACAATGTCTTTAACAGTTATATAAGTACAAGAGTTAGTTTTCAGTTGATGACACATCTATTATATTTTTCTTGTGTCTATAACAAAATTACTTCTTGCGCCTTAAAGAAAATATTTTGAACACTTTTCAATTCCATCGTTTTCGTTTCAGGCTGCATTATATTTTATAAAGCTTACTTGGAGCTACTAAAAAACTCTTAAAATATTGTCTTTTGATTATTTTTTCAGTATCATTACAAAACTATTTTTTGAAAGTGTTAAAAAAATTTTACATTTTCTGCCGAAATATTTATGAAACTGTTTTGTAGTGTTTGTAATGGCCTTATCGAATATTAATGAAGACTATAGTTTTATATAGAAAGGTGCCAATTTCCTACTTATTGCTGTTTTATAAACACATTGAAAACATTTCTGGGAGAAATACAGTATTATGAAATTGCTGGTTGGAATACCTACTCGTCGTAGTTGATAATTTTGACTATTTTTTCTGGATTCGAAAAGTAACAGTAACACAGTAACTTATTGTAAACTGAAAAGTTTTTCTTGTCTACAATTTTTATATTTTTCCAATTGTGGAAAGGAAAAAAACAAAAAAAATATGTTGAATTTTCGGAAAGTATATGAAACAGCGACCGATAAATGTAACTTTTTCTCCATCAATAATATCATGAAATCTTAAATAAATACATTCATTGTTGTTGTCATTCTTGATTTCGTTATGGTGTGATGAAAAATATTTCAATATATTGAAACATTTTTGTCTTTCGTTCGATTTTCTTCTTAACATCAGACGATCGCGTTACTTTCCTGATTGTGAAAAATTTTCAGAAGTTTTAGCAATCTATGTTACAGTATATACGGTGTCAATTGATAACATACAATATTCGAGAAAATCGTTCATTTTCATTTTCAGAAAAAACTTTATACGAATGTATGTCCTGCATGAAGCTAAAATTTTGAGAATATTTTTTTTCTCAATGTTACCATTGATATGCATCTTCAATGCAGGTCAGGATATTTCTCGTCACCAGTGGCGTCTGTGCGGGATTTACATTTATTCATTTTAAAGATGAAAACGAAATGCTACTGCAACAAAATCCAGAAACCAGATCTCTTGAGTAAATCAGAATTTTATTCATTCGCATCTAGACAAAAAAATATAAGATATGTTTTCTATACTGTATGCTGAATCTTCCTGCGCTGAACTCAAAATAATCACCTTCGTTCTTGGTATGTTAACATTACCACTTCTTTGAGGTAATTATCTGACTTCATAAACACGTTTTCGTTCAAACACTTTCATGCATGATTATGAATGTTCATGTTCTTATCACCTGAAGATGATTGTGTATACTAACAATCGAAACGTCGTGAATTAACTTGGTTAGGAATCTCCTAAATTGTAATTTTAATTTGTTGTTGATAATTTTTTTAATTTTCATTCAGTGTTAATTAATTTTTTTTGTTGTTACTTGTATTTTGTTTTATTGTAATTTCAGTTTTTTTGCCTAATATAATTGTTATTTTTTCAGCTGACCTTTTCATTTTATATTTTTTACAGATTCTTTCAGGAATTTCAAATCAATTTATATCATACTAGATAATGGAAGTCTGAACTGATGAAATGCATATGACATGCTCAAGACTTGAGGCCATTTAATGCACTTCAAAAAAAATGGGGACTTTTATTTTTTGGATCTAGAACTACAAATAAAGTCCGCATATCGGAAGAGCATGTAATATAATAAGTAAGAAACAAACAGAAACTTAATGGCTCCTAATCATTTACGTCCTTCACGATATCTCATCAAATATTTGAATTGCCGTTCTTTAAACACATTTTCACCTTCACAATAGTTTTTTGAGTCAATTTTCCAGCATTTGTGAAGTTATAACCATGCAAGCTCCCCTAATTGTTTGTTCCAACTCATGAATATTGCCGAAAGCTGTGCCAAATACCTTGTATGTCATGAAGCCCCGGGAGGGTCAGGTCTGGTGAACGTGGTGTCCATTTAATGGGACCATTGTTTCCTATTTTCAAAAATTTTCCACTGATTTCACTGTATCATAATATATTTCAAGTTCAATTTGGTTGGTCTAGCTGCTAAACTCTAGCATTAACAATATTGTGAAACTTCTCCATTGTTAACCGTCTTTTCTATTTCAGTTTCGACGTCCGAGGAAAGCCACTGTCTCAGGCGCGCCACTGGTCCGCACCGGAAGTGTTCGGATCCAGGGCCTACTTCCGGACAGTATCCGAGCCAGCACAACTCGTCATTGACGACATCCGGCGCCTCGACGAGGGCGTCTACCGCTGCAGAGTCGACTTTCGGAACGCGCAAACCCGCAGCTTCCGATATAATCTCACAGTTATTGGTGAGTATGTAGCGATAACGATGAACTAGTTTGCATTTCGAAAGTTCAAGAGGCAGAAAATTATGGACATTACTCTTTCAATGTTGCCAAAAACGGTAATAATACGGTTTTCTCAGTAAAAACACAGTAGTTTCAACCCCAGAACGTTATTTCAGTTACCGTATGCGTTGAATTATTGTATGAAAAAAACCATAACTAAAATTTCAGTCTTGAAAATTTATTTTGCATGGAAACGTGCAATTGTACTCCCTTTGCCAAAATATGAACATCCAACTGAATTATCTCATTTGAGGCCAATTAACAAACTGCCTATCCTATCTAAGGTGTTCGAGCGGATTCTGAAAGATCAAATTGATTCTTTTGTATACAATAATAATTTAATAACACATGTTTAATCTGGATTTCGTTCATTCCATAGCATCAATACCGCTCTTGTCAACATCACCCAAGATTCATTCAAAGCAACTGATAACAGTGAAGTTACTGCCATGGTACTCTTGAACTTAAGCAAAGCATTCGATACATTAGACCAAAATATTCTATGTAGGAGAATTTTTCAGATTTAGTGGAGGGACTGTAGATCTATCAAAAAGTTAACTCAGAAATCGAAATCAGTCAATATATCTGGATGAAAAGTATTCTAGTGCTTCACCTGTTAACTATGGAGTACCTCAGGGCTCTATCCACCATACCCGCAAGTTCAAACCATCCACCATCACACAAAATGGCTGCCTATAACGCATTCATATATAGAATGTTAAGGATACCACTCAGCAATGAAGCCCGAAACAAAGAACGGAAAATCATATACCAAATAGCGAACGGAAACGGATACACCCAAAAGACAATAGATAAACTAAAAAACAGATTCAAAAGAAAAATACAGAACAATGATCAAGCTACCCCAACAGACAAAACAACACAACGATGGACAGCATTTACGTACATATGACACCAAACCAAAAAACTAACAAACATCTTCAAACCACTGAACATCAACATCACATACAAGCCGAACACGAAGATAACACAAAAAATAAACAACTATGAAAAAGAAAAAGACTAAGACCAAAACGGGATATACAGTATAAAATGCTCGGACTGCAACAAATTCTATGTCGGCCAAACCAAGAAAAAACTGATCCAAACGTACAATGAGCACAAAAAGGCATATATAAATCCAACAGTATATAAATCAAACCTTGCAACACACGCCATACAAAACGAACATAATTTCCCGACACCAGAGAACATAAAACTAATAAAACAAATCAACAAGGGAAACCGCATGGACATTTGGGAAAACTTGAACATCCATAAATTCAACAGTCATAAATCACTTACCGAGGAACAAGTACAAATCAAAACACAACACAGTCAATATATTAAACAAAACCATACACATTCCTAGAGAAGATCTAACACGAAGAAGAGTACCTGATGCAGAACAAATACAGGCATATTTACCTAAAGTACCTGAAATACCTGAGTTAAGACGCTCTTACCGTATAAAGAGACAGACAACAGGATGGCCAGTTCAGTTTGAGGAGTGCCAGATGATGACAGTACTACCAACTGTCGAAAGCGCTCGCAGATAATTAATAGAAGATATAAAGCTTCAAATCCTTTTTGTAGAATTTAATAT